CACAGCAACCAGCACCTAGGGAATTCTCAGTGAGGTGGCTACTCTCATACATGGATACATTGTTTTGGAGGAAGAAGAGAAAAAAAGATCCTCTAGATTTAAACAGACCAAAAGCCAGTAAAATACACCTATTTAATTGGTTTTTTCCTTCAACTTGAAGTCCATCAGAAACCCTTCCATATAAGGCAAAACTATATTTGGATGAAAAATACTCCTCACTTTTGTAAAAGAAATCAGTTCATCAAATCCACATCCATCCCTTCTCCTTCGTACAAGTCAGATTTGAAAACAAAACCCAAGCATCCAAAAGTTTGAAAACCGTGTCTCTCAAATAGGACTCCCTGAATCCACCAATTTGAACAAGAATATCCTGAGCACGCACGGGAAACAATGGCCTTAGAAAGGCTGGGAATTCGCAAATGATGTGGCCAGCATCTACTGAACATCAGATGTCTACACGATTAAGAGAAAACAGATGTGAAGAGGACAGAATGTTTGACCGCACACTGCCTGTCCTGTTGTCTGTCCCTGAGAACAGCCCAGCGGAGGCTTCCTTCAGGCCTCCCCTTCTCCTGACCTCACCCACGCCGGCTACATTCACCATGCAGACCACTGTGTGCGCCTCACTGTTCTGTTCAATAACCTTCTGTGGCTCCCCAGTGCTGTCAGGATAGAGTCCATTCGAAACTCTCCCCCTGCCTCTCTTGTTATTGCCTGAATGACACCAGACCCCGATCAAGCCACAGCAATCTGTTCACCGCTCCTCGAAACACTGTGTATGTCCTACTGCCCAGACCTGGTTCACACCATCCATCGTTCTAGGATTCCATTCCCACTCCTCTTTGTCTAAATCTAACCCTTTCTTCGAAGTGAGCACCAAGTCCACCTTCCTCTAAGAACCCTTCCACAGTCTTGTTACGATGATCTTCCCCTTATTGGCCAGCTGAGTCCTTCACCCGGCATTTAGTACCTGCCGCCTTTTCATGTTACCTACCACTTCTCAGACATGCCCCATCTCTTCCAAGAAACCCCAGCACCTCAAGGACAGGCCCCACTTCTGACCATTTCACAGCTTTGCTGCAGTGCTAGGCACACAGTAGGCACCTGTCACACTTTTAGGCCCTTGGGAGTCCGGAGACCTCAGGTGGCTCTGCAACTAACTGGCCATGTGGACGGGCTGGACCACGGTGCGGGGGGCCTCCGGCCCCTCCCCACTGCACAAGAAGTCTGGCGAGACGAGGTCCTTGCTGGATCTAAGATTCTGTGAGAGGGGCTGGCCATTTGCTAATGGTGCTGGAAAGCCTTTTCTTCTAGCTTTTTCACCAGAGCCCAATCACCAAGACTAGGAAAAAGGATGGGTGCTTGGGGGAAGTAAAGATTCAGAAGACCTTGTGAGAATGTAGAGTTTAAGTAGAGCCTTTTACTGAACGTTTACTTTTAAATGTAAAGAAAGCAAGAGTCAAAAAATAAAATTTCCCACACCTTCCCTCCTCAGTGCCCAGTAGCAGTTTGCTGAGCAGCCAGGGTGGATGATAGCAACCAGGTAGGAAGTAACAGATGGGCTGCACTTCCTGCTCTATAGGAGACATGTCCTGTTAAGGTCATAGTTCAGCATTTGAGGGCAGAGAGAAGGGGGTAGGTTTGGAAGTCTCCCTTTTCTCAGATCCTGGCGGGAAGGCAGCAGGCACACCACCCTAAGAGTTGACCTAAGTGGACCCAAGCAGTTTCACACTCAGGGGCCAGCTGTCTGCACCCTGGGTCCTCTCCTCAGAGTCTTTATGTTAAGAAGCAGAGCATAAGTCTCACGTTGACTTTGACTTCGGATAAGAATGAAGTGCTTTCCTTGAGGCAGATCTGGTCAATGCATTCCTACCCGCCCTCACAAACCAGCGGCCACAGGCCAGGGCAGGGGCCCTGAGCCCTCGGTCAGGCGGCATCACCTCATCTCAGGGCTTTGGTCTCGCTGTCCTTTTACCCTCCGTACCTCAGGGAGGGTAGTGAGAAGAGAAAAAATAGAAGAGCAAGGAGGGCTATTAGGGCGAAGAGGCTGGAAACTTAGTGAAACTCACCTTCTCAGGCACAGAACACAGATGCAGGGAGAGCGTGGGGGAACTAAGGGGTGACTCAGACACTCCGGGTTTTATGAAACCTTCTCACAGCCTTTCAGTGTTAGAGTTTAGGAAACCCTTCAGAAATCTCCTTGACAAATATAAACTTGCAGCCCAGCATTCTTTCCAGTTTTGCAAGTTAGTTCCTGTAACTTCCTTCCTGGGCTTACTTCAAGTTCTTGGCTCAGTGAAAATATCTTCAACCATGACCCCATCGGGGGGAACAGTTCTATTCCCCAGGGCCCCAGTAACTAGGGGGTAACAAGATATCAGTTTCATAGTGTGGGCAACCACCTCCTGGGTCAGTCTGTGGTTTTTTTTTTTGGGGGGGGGTGTAAAACATGGGACTGGAAGTCTGTTTTAACTGCCTGGTTATTGATTCTTCCCCATCAACCCCTCTTTGCATAAGTCACAAGAAGCATTAGCAAAACAAATTCATGGCCACTTCTTCTCTTATTATAAATGCTTAGCAGATCCCAAAATGCCCTGTGGGAATGTGGCTCCTTAGCAAGGCTGGGTAACAAAATGGCTTTTATACCAGTGAGAGAATTTAGAATATGCAGGCTTTCGTAAGAACCTAGAATAGGGCTCAAAGGTCACAGAAGGACTCTCCACCTGGACTTCAGGTCTGCGTGAAGGTCTTTCTCTGAACTTATGCAGCTCCAGCTGGATGGATGGCCACCCTCTGGAGGAATGCTGAGCCCAGCGGGGGGCAGGGTAGATGGGGACTCCCACTGGAACTTGCTTCACCCTCCGGGGCAAAGCAGCAGGACTATCTCACCAGTTTGCGAAGAACTGGTCTGTCAACAGAGAAACAATAGCAGATGGAAAGAAGCCCCTGATTCTCCTTCCACTCTTGAGTAGAGGTCACCAGCTCAGATGCCACTGTTCCTAAGCGCTGGAACCTCCAGTTCTTGGTCACCCTGAGATGGGGGGAAGGTGGTGATATGAAAAAGTATAGTGGCCAGAGCAAAGTGCCTCTTTTGATAGGGAAGATCTTGCCCAAATTAATTTGTATTTCAGATTTTTTTAATGTCAATCCCTTATACACATAATTTCCAAAATATTACTCAGCATCATCCAAGACTTTTAGGTTTTGTTTGTATTGTTTAGTTAAGAAAGTGCTGCATTATCTACAATAGCCAAGTGCTGGAAAGAGCCTAAGTGTCCATCAGTGAATGAGTGGATCCAAAAGCTATGATACATTTACACAAGGGAATTCTATGCAGCAGAAACAAAGAAGGAGCTCCTACCCTTTGTGACAGCATGGATGGAATTGGAGAGCATTATGCTCAGTGAAATAAGCCAGGCGGTAAAAGACAAATACCATATGATCTCACCTATACGTGAAACCTAATCCACAAAACAAACAAGCAAGCAAAATAAAACCAGAGACATGGAAATATAGAACAAACTGATAGTGATGGGGGCAGGGAGGGTAATAATGGGGGAAAGAAGGGGAAGAGCCAAGTCAAGGAACATGAATAAAGGACCCATGGACAAAGATGACGGGAGCAGTGGATTGAATATGGAAGGTGGGGAATTGGTAGGGCAGGGGAGAGTAATGGGGGGAAGAGAACAGCTATAATTGAACAACAACAAAAATATATATATTAAAAAAGAACATGTCCAAAGCAAATCAAGAGGAGAAAAGGTTGCTAAATGTCTATGTCCAGTTTCTCTGGCACCATTTTCAGAAGCAAGAAACTCAATGAAGCTGTCACCAAAGGCACAATATTTTGCCGTGTATAATATGCTACATGTAAAATGCATGCCCACATTCTTGACCCGAACTTTCAAGAAAAAAATTTCATTTTAATTTTTAAAGTCAACTATTTATTTATTTATTTATTTATTTATATTTAGAAACAAAACCAATCATCATATTCCAGGGTATTATTTTGCATTTGAATATTGTCACTGTTTCCTAGTCACACTTTTAATGCATAAACATAAGTAAAAGAATTAAAAACATTTCTATAGATACAGAATTAGTACTACCCATGTATAATGCGTATCCTTACTTTCCCCTCACAAACTTTGGCAAAAAGGTGCATGTCATACACGGCAAAACACGGTACCTCCCATCGGAGGTTACTGCGGGTCCCCCACATAGCAGGTAAACGCAGGCTGAGATTGGCGAACCGCCCCTGAGTGTCTGAATCCTCGCCCCATAATGTTTGCCTGTGTGATCTCCCAAGTGGCTCGGGCAGGCAGTAGGCTCACGGCCACCAGCTTCTAGTGATGTGATACTCCCTCTCCAGGATATGACTTAACCACTCTGTACTTTTCCTTAATTAAAAATGGAAACAAAATCTAAGAACCTTGCAATTATACTAAGTCTAGTTTGGAAAATCAGTTGCATTGTCTACAGTGTGAGAGCAGGGTGAACTGTTTCCAGTTGCCCCCCAGTGTTGCCACAAAGATCAAATGTGAATGAAACTCCTCTCAAAACCGCAAAAAGCATGCACTTGGAAGGTACTGTTACTGTTCTGTGAATGCCTCATGGGTTTATGCACTGCTAATTAGCATGTAAGGTCCTTAGAGTAAACGACTGCATCGTATCATTTACTTTCCATTGCACTAATGTAGTGCCAGCTACCAAATTTCACACGATTGTTTGCTGAACTAATGACTCCTAGAGACTCAGGTCTAAAGCACTTTGCCTATTATGGCTAATAGATTGTTCTCCATAACCGCTCAGGAAACTTACATTTGACGCCTTACGTGACATATTGCGTCTCCCTCCTGCAGGCTTGCTATGGTGGGGACGTGGCCATCTCCCACCACCTCCTTATGGCATGTCCCTTCCCTCCTCTGACTGCGGGTCCGACCTGTCCCATCTCCTCTTCCTGCAGGACAACCTACTCCCCACCCCCCTCCACACAGTACCTGCTCCCTGCTCCGCGTGATCCTCTCAGACAGCAAATCCGAGTTATTTCTTTCTTCCTCCAGTTCAATCTCCAGTTGAGACACCTTGTCCTAAGAAACAAGACACAACACGGCCTGGGTCACTTACACCGGCCTGGGTTCAGAGCGAGGCCGTTCCTGTGGAGGGACACCCCGAGGGCGCCTCAGAGCAGAGCGTCATTTTGGTTCGGGAAGGGCTGTGATTTCTCATACTGTCCAAAGCAGATACTTCTACAACTGTTTCACTGCTTTCATAATATAAAATGTAATTATCCATTTAGAAAGTACATTAAAGGAGAAAAATACTACTCCAAACCCTAATATAAGCACCAAGGATAGTTTAACATGTTTCTTTCAAGTCTTTTTTCCCCCTTATAAACCAAAAACTACTGAGATCTATCTTAGCCTAAGGTATCTAAGTTACATGAGGGAAATGAGATACCACCCAAGGCACATTTCTGTCCAAGCCCCAAACTCGGGACAATGTTTTGCCCCCTTCCTGCTCAGGGTTTCCAAGAGCCTTGCAGGAGTCAGGTCTCTAACAGTCTGTTGCAGCTGCCTCTTCCCTCCAAGGAACCTCACTCAGCTCTGCACAGTCCCAAACCCACATCAGAATAACAACACACATGCAGTGTCGGCTCATTCTGCTACACCAACCACCCCAGAAGAAGCAGCATTTCTCCCTTTCTCGCTGGCTCTGATGTAACATCATCAAGCGTTAGGAGAAGAGAACTGCAAGGTAGCTTTGTGTATGAATGAAAAGAGGCTTTTAATGTAAACCACTGCACCTGAGACTGTGGGATGTGGGTTCTATGCGTGTGTGTCTACTGTTACCAGCCAGTTGTCGTATGTCTGGGTTAACTCAGAGACACACACACACACAAAAGCAACCAGCATTGTGAGTTTCTAAACAGGAGTCTGAGGCATCTGCATGTAAATACTGTCTCTGCCATCATCAGTGTTGACTGACGAGCTGTGGAGGCCTCTGTAAGTGCCAAAGAAGAGTCACAGAACTCACGTGAATGCCTCCATGTGTGCAAATGCCTTCCCTGTTACTGACCGAAACATTGGGGGCCCGAAGGCTCTCCCCCAGGAGCTGTGAGCCCCAAGTCCGGAGCAGGACAGACTGCTGGGTCCCACACCAGGCCCCCTGTTTGGTCAGTGCTCCCCAACTCCTCCGAGGCCAGCTTCGCTCAGGTCGGAAAACACAGACCCACAAGGGCCACACTGACATAGGACGGCCGCCCGAGTTGCTCAGTTTACAGAAAACGCTCATTGCTGAGAGCTCTTGAGTCCTGAGAATTAATTTAAAGGTGAGTGAAGGAGCAGGCAAGATAGGAGTCGTGCTAGTGGCCTCGTAGGGGAGCAGATGCCCCTGCAGTGTGCAGCACAGGGGTGGGGCCTGGAGAGCCGCTCATTTTGTAATTAGTGAAGAACTCTCTAAAATGTTGCAGAGGGACCAATGCAACTTCGTTATACCACTGCTTCCACACCTGGAGTTAGCAAAAGGAAATGTTCTTTTTAGTCAGAATATTCTAGAAGGAGATGACCTGAGAAGCCAATGTTTAGCTACAGCATCTCTTCACAGGGCCCTCTTCCTGCCTGCAATGTGTGCTGCCCACAACCCAGCCTGCGCATTCTGGGGCCAGGCCTCGGGCCATCGTCGCCCCAGGGGCTCCGGCAACGCTGCCCAGCAAGGCCTGAGCTTGCTTTGAACCACATCATTTGGGTCCTAGAATAATTGCTTCCTAGTTAAACGGGTTGAATTTAACTTGCCTTAAGATGACCTCCCCTAATAAGATCAGAACCAGCACATTAGCAAAAAATACAGCAACCCTAGAAAACTGTAGCCAGCTTACTCTAATAACCTCTAAAAAGCTCCCATCCAATGAAATCTTCAACAGCTGAGACACCACTCTCTAGTGAGAACTGCTACTAAGTCCCCCAGAGGTTTTAGAAGTCATTTCTATTTATTTGCAAAGTTGAATCAGGAATTCCATTGATTTTAAATTTAAGCTATCTCTTCCTGGCCTTGAGCACTCTCTGCCCTTTATCAAAACCTTGACAATTTTAACTCCTTCCACAGGTCCGAGGCTGATTCTTAGGCCTCTTTCTCCCTCTCTAAATTCCACTGGGATGTGGGGTGTGTTGGGGGCAGCAGGGGGAATCAAGGGTTTTCTGGTTTGGGGTTGGTTTTATTCTTGAACATTATTCTTTTCCATAAGTCCGGGGGGGAATGATGTCATTCTCAGTGGGCTGTTCACGCTTAGATTCTATTACTCGCTTCACTTTTCTAAGTGTTGTGTTTTCATCTTGCAAACAAATCACCCCCAGCTGGTGGCTCCACCGAGCACTTTCTGAGATATTCTCTTCGACCATGTTTATACTGTATATCCGAGGAGAATTGAGCCAGTTTGCTGCTAGCTTTGGTGAAGCTAGGCCATCTGTAGGGAAAAATGGGTCAAAGTCAGCAAACAGTAATGGAGCATTTGGTGTGGCAAACAAGCACCGTGTGTCCCCAGGCACCGGCAGTCTGGACTCAAGCACAGCTCAGCCCTGTCCCGATCTGCAGCAGTCTTGTCTCCTTTGGACTCAAACGCACAGCCTGAAGCAGCACACAGAACAGGAACTGCCTATGTGCCCTTAGGTAAACCTCTTTGGGTCTAACCTAACTTCTTTGGGTCTCTGTTTTGCTTCCTCTTCAAAGCAATGAGGACACTCCACTAAATTACCTCCATCACTCCGTCCAGCATGGGTGTTGCAGGAGTCTCTGAACTACCAGTCCCCCCAAATCAGACATGACCTTCCTAACCAAAGGGTTCCCTAGAGGCTGATGTCTGAGCAGAAAGCTTGCTTCCCTCACGTCCCCACTCTTTCCCCAGGCCCTGGGGCTGCCCACATGCCCCACACACCTCCATCTGCTTGACCAGTCGGCTGCGGTCGTCTTTGAGGTGACTCTTGGCCTCCAGCTCATACTCCAGGTCCTTCAGCGTCTGCTCCAGAAGCTGCCTCTTCGTGAGCGCCTCATCCTGAGCTCTCTGGTAGTCCCGGAGCTCCTCCTCCATCAGGCGCATCTGGAACGAGAAAGGGTTGGGGTGCTTAGCTGGGCACACTGGGAGCCCAGAGACCTCGCCGGGCAATGTGCAGGGAGAGCCAGAGGAGATCAGAGGACCTGAGCAACTGCCACTGCCCTCAGGGCCTTAGTTTACCCGTCTATGAAAGGGGGGTTTCCAGCTACAGGAAGCAACCCATTGGGTTATAAATTTAAAAAAAATACTCGGGCCCTGGCCAGTGTGGCCCAGTTGGTTGAAGCGTCATCCCATAAACTAAAAGGCTGTGTGTTTGACCCCTGATCGGGGCTCACATGGGACGCAACCGATCAATGTGTCTCTCACATCAATGTCTGTCTGTCGGTCTCTCGCTGGAACCAATAAATAATATCCTCAGGTGAAGACTTAATAAAATACTCAAAGAAATAACGTATCCATCTAATTGTAGGGATGTATGTATTACTAAGCCACAATGCAAGAGGTAGTTCTTACCTTAGGTCATGATCAGAAACACTGAAAGCCACTGAACTAGGTAAGAGCTTCCCAGGGTATAACTGACTGACTGCCCGCCTGGATCAGCATCACCTCAACAGAAGTTTAAAGTTAGGAGAAATAAAAACCAAGTTAATGCCCCCAAAGCAACCTGCAGGCATGAAATCTAATAATACAAACATGCCCATTAGGTGAAAACCGCTGCTCCCTAGAAGAAAATCAGGTCATCAGCGGTCATAATCGACAGTGCTCTTTTCATCCACAAGGTGGCACTAAACTAACAGCTTTGAAGGCTGCATCCAACTAAAGAGCTTGGTGCACAAGGGCTGGTCCCTCCCGAGTTGTTTCTCGGGAATCTCCCGGAAGAGGGGAGCCACCCTACACACACTGGGCACTCCCGAAACATCTGTGCGGACAGATTGGGTGAAGTCTAAGGCTGTCTGTTCTGCTGTCAACTTCCTACCCTCTGGGAGACGGTTGAAAGCACAGTCTTAGGAACAGACTACACCAGGAGTTATTTCCTTCAGGGAGTATGTGAGAGTGAAGTGCCAAAGTCCATGACAGAATACCATCGCTTGGGGGTGATTTTCACAGAAAGGTTGGAAAAGCCCCAAAGATGGTCTTAGGGGTGCAGGATGACTCAACAGGTTAGACTAGCTTGGGAAGACCAGTGGGAAAACGTTGAGAAATGTGTTCCTTTCTTGGTGGCTGATGAAACGGCATCAGCTGACATTCCTATGTAAACAGCATAGCCTGGAAGGAGACCGCTCCCCATAAAACCCTGGTCCGGTCTGGGTGGCGACTGAGTGCGAAGACGACTAGGAAATGAAACTGAGTGGAAGCACTAAGTGAACATCGGCCCATGAGGAAAGGATGACGGTGCAGGCACTGGCCGCAGAGAGGGCGCACTGCACCCCAGAACGTGCGACATCTCTCCCACCTCTCAGAGTTTCCTAATTTGCAATCCTGGGATAATTTAAAAACCTACCATATACAGAGCTGTTAGAGAATCAGATGAAGTAGTACCAGAAAAGAACATGGGTTTGAGAGTCAGAAAGACTGACTGGTAAAAGGAGAGCCTGCATTTCCTTGTCTGCACCCTCCCTGGTGCCCTGCGGCCCGGCGGCCGGAGTGCCAGGACATCTCTCCAGGGCTGGGGCAGGGTGTGTGCAGCAGCACAGCTGTCTGTCTGGAATCCCAGGTCAGCAAATAACTTTGGAAGCTTCTTGTGCTGCTCTTACGTAGTTAGGTGCCCTTTGCTGAGTGATATTTAGAAGATTAACTGAACAACAATAACTTCTAAGTCTTAAATTATCTAAAGATTATTTACGTCAGAACTTCCCTAGCTCCACACCAAAGGCAAAACAGGTAAAATGTCTATTTCCCTCAAAGCAAAAAAGGAGAGTGTCACAGCCCTTGGGAGGGAGGGACTACCGCTTTTCAATTTCTTTTGCTTAGGATGGGGGGGGGGGCAGTGAGCTGAGCTGACCTTGAGCTTTTCAAGGGTCCTGAGTGATCCTGACTTGTTAATTGGATTTTGTCTGGAACAATTCCATGACTTCAGCAGCCTGATCCATTTGGCATCTGCCATTTCCTTGTAGAATGAAGAGGTGCCTGTTTGTGCTGTGCAAGTGGAAACAGTGTCTCACGGGCCTTTACCACTGAGAAAACCTAGGAAAGGCTGTCTTTGTTTCATCGGAAGGAATCCTTTGGGAGTTACAGCTTCTTTACTCCACGGAGACATCATCGGCCTCCATCTGGCCTTCAGTAACCTCTCTGGACCTCCATTTCCTTATCTCAGACCAGGAAAGTTCCTTCCAATCTGAAGATTCTAGCGGAATAAGCCTCATGGAAAAAGCAACAGGAGCTGTTTGCAGGGGCCACTCTGGCACTATGATTCCCTAAGATCAAAACCCCCCCCCCAGGTGTTTGTTAGAATCCTGGCAAATATCTGAACCCCCTGCCCATCTGCTGGAGAAATGAAAATGCTTGTTGAATGCCAAAGAGAATGGCGATGTCAGTAAGCTAATTTCAGTTTTCACTTGGATTCCTGTGTCACGTGACCCTGTGCCCGAGGGGGTCCGTTACTGGGACCCTTTCGGAAGTGTTCCTGAAATCTGTCGGAAACCCCCACTGTCCTTCCCCACGCCGTGCACACTGGCCATGGGTGACTCTTCTTTGATCATCAAAGATATTAAAAGTTTGTTTTTTTTAAAGAAAAACTTGTTTTCCTGTGGAATCTTAGTGCTCTTGGCACTGCTTATGAAAAAAGTTAAGACTTAGAATTTAAAAAATAATAATAATAACAGTATCCAGGATATACACACCCTCTGCTACAGAGTTCCACATGTTCTCTCATTTAATTATTAAGTCATTATTATTTTGTATATTTTTAAAGAGGCAGAAACAGATGCTCAGAAACTGGGGTAATGCACTCAAGGTCACCCAGCTGGCAAGAAGCGTAGCAAGAAATCAGCATTCATGTATTTGCATTTTAGGGCCTTCAGTTTTCCATTAAAATAATCAAAACCATTCCCTTTATTTTCTCTCAGTTCTTCAGAAGTCAAGACTGAAGGGAGTTAATATTTGGGTTACTTTGCTCTGTTTTAATAATTTCAATACTCATAAATTCCTGAGGATTTCTTTTTGTCTCCATCATTGTCCTGAAACTCTTGTCTACCATTCCCACTCCAATTAAAGTCTATATTTTCTAAACAAATGAGGGAAAAAAACACCACAGTTACTATAATCCCTGTTCTAGGATTAAATTAAAACATTAATACACACAAATCATTTTGACACGGCTGGGAAAACCACGGGTGCTCCATAAATGGTAGTTAAACTTTTTAGGCAGAAAATCTCGGCTTAATAAAGAAAATGGTCAAGTTACAGTTTTACCAATTTCACCTCAGAGGCCAGGGGTTCACTGTGTGTCAGGATGTCATTTGCCCCATGTAACCGTCCAGAGGGTTAAGACTGAGGAATCAAGCTCAAACGCTGTCTTAAGAATCCACCCCAAGTCTCTCCCAGAAGTTTCACAGCCTGGAAGGATTCTCCGAATAAGGGGGAACGCAGGAACCGGCCTGGCCGGGCGTTACCTCCTCCTGCATCTTTGCTGCAGTCAGACGGGCCTTTTCTGCCTCTAGGGTCTTCTCCTTCAACTGCCTTTGCATTTCTGCCAGCTCCCTGCGATTTTTCTCCTTGTATTCATCCAGCTGGTTCTGGAGCTCCAGCGTTGATGTGCGGGACACCTCGACAATGTCAGCCATCTGGAAGAAGTGACTCGGGTGTGAGCCCACCCTGTGATGCTCCATCTGGGACCAGGGAGCTAGGTTTGGGTCCCACCCAAACACTGATCATGCCTCCTCTTCATTCTTCCACACCCTTCCCAAAATTTTGCAAAGGGCCTCATCATGGGCTATGCAGGTTTAGTCACTTCTAACGGGGAAGCAGACACTAGGCCCAGAATCCAGAGGGTACCGGCATATTCTAGAACAGTTTCTCTGTACCTGGGGTTCCCCGCAAGTCCTCAGAGCTGTTTCAGGGGATCTGCAGGTCCCTGACACATTTGTGCTTATACCTAACTGCAGGCTTCCTTAGCTTTCATCAGGCCCTGAGAGGCAGCTGGGTCCCAACACCCTCTCCCTCCTCAGGTGCACTGGTGTGGGCCCCACACCCTCCCCTCCCCTGCTCCCACCTCCCTCCCGCTCTCTGACCTCCTCCTGCTGCCTCACCTCCTTCTGCAGTTTCTCAATGGTCTTGTCCAGGTGCCATCGCTCATTCTCCATCTCGTTCTTCAGTCTCCTTAACTGCTCCTTCTGCTCAGTCTCATCTTTCAGCTTCTCAGACAACTGCTTCTGTTCCTGGGTGGCCCGACTCAGACTTCTCTGCAGATGACAGGGAAAGGATAGTGTTGTCATCTACCTACCAGGTCAGCCATGAGAACGAGTGGCAGAGGGAGTCTCATAACCGCACCACAAGGCAATCAGACCTGTCACTTTGGTGATAAGGAAATGGATCAAAATGCAGCCATCAAAGAGACACAAGGACATTGCTGGTTCTGCAACTCAGAGACCAAGCTGACTTAGCCACAGACATACAGAGGCAGGCAAAGGCTGCAAAACCGCTGAGGCTGCTGGGGATGGCGATTCAGCTAGTGTCCAAAAAATTGATTGTTCATGCTTGAAAACCAAGGTGAAGTTACGCAGGAGACTAACCTAAACCTACATGACAGCTTACATCCTGTGACATACACTGCACCTAATACTCTTGAATTTGCTCTGCTATGCAGATGATCATTACAGTTAAAACAGCCAAAAATGGCCCAGGCTGGGTGGCTCCGTTGTCCCATACACCAAAAGGTTGCGGGCTCGATCCCGGTCAGGGCACGTACATAGATTACGGGTTTGGTTCCTGGTTGGGGTGTGTATGAGGGGCAACCAATTGATGTCTCTCTCTCTCTCTCTCCCTGACTCCCTCTCTCTTTCTCTCTCTCTCTTCCTTCATCTATCTCTAAAAAAAAATCAGTAAACATATTGTTGGATGAGGATTTAAAAAAAAAAACTAGCCCTGGCTGGTGTGGCTCAGTGGATTGAGTGCAGGCCCGCGAACCAGAGGATCTCAGTTCCATTCCCAGTCAGGGCACATGCCAGAGTTGCAGGCCAGTTCTCAGCAGGGGAGCCAGGAGAGGCAACCATACATTGATATTCTCTCCCTCTCTCCTTCCCTTCCCCTCTAAAGATAAATAAATAAATAATTTTTAAAAACTAACTAAAAATTAACCTACAAAGACAGAGCACACTGCCACAGGCCAAGAGTCCACTTGGGCACTGGGAGAACGTGTGGGTGGGGCCCACACACAGAAGAAAAAGAACTTGGCAGTCCACCGGCTGATGAACTCGATGAGCAGAGGTGTTAAATGGAAGAGACGCCACTCAGAAAAAGTGCCTATGAATGGTGACTTAGTGAATCAGCACCAGATACTAGTAGTTACTACAAAATGCAACCCTCTCTGGGGAGATCACTTCCCTGGGCTTCTCTGGAGCTCTGATCTCACACCTCCGCACAGACTGAAGCCCTTTATGTAAAAAACATGCAACTTTTAACAAGATCCTAAAATGTCTTAAAGATGGTTACGGAGGCTTCTTTAAATGACTGGGTGCTGGGATGTCGAGAAGAAGCACAGCTCAGAAAGGGGCAGCGGGACCCAGACATGGGCTGGGTCACCTGGGAAGTGCTGTGATGTGCTGAGGGCTGAATGGGGGTTAGTACAGACACTGCTTAAGACCTACTCAGTCTGTGCCGTGCAGAGACTGGATGCAGAGAACAGTTTAGATGTTTATGGTGCTTAACAATGCACAAGTTTCCGTCACACACGCAATAACTCAGGCATCTTGAAAACACTCCCAGATCACTTCAGGCACCCCTGGTCCGCAGGGCCCGTGAACAGCTCTGCCGGCCAACCACCTGCCCTGGGGCTAAACAGCCACCTGTGGGGGCCTGCCTTGCCCCTCCGGCTCTGACTGCCTGCAAAATCCCGCCAACCCAGCTGAGCTGCTCCAGTTAATGGCTGTGGGGAACCAAAGTCAACAAAAGTGGTTGGGGGAAGAAAAGGTGCTAAAGAGAGGTAATCAGAAGTTCAGTGTGGGACAGCTGGCAGGCGTCCGTCCCACCACAGCCCGGCTGCGCACACCCAGAGACAGGGTCAACGCCTGGGATTTGTCTGTGGCTGAATAAGTGGTGCTGGGGGCAAAGGGGTGTACACGGGGCAAGGTAAGTGATGTGTAGTTCTACTGTGTGGGAGAAAACCCTCAAAAACATGTATCTCAAAATGTAAATTCTTGAAAAACAAATGCAAATACAGAGGGTAATCAATGGCTTCCCGCAGAACCTTCAGGATCCAACCCAACCCCTGCCCCAGCCTCTTTTTCTTCCTCCTGAGTCCCAACCCCAGGGGCTCCAGGCCAGCAGACAAGCCAGCCCCAGCCCCGTGAAGCCTCCGTGTGGTGCGTGCATTTCGGCTTCACCCCTGGCTCAGGCGGGGCTGCCACCCAGCTCTGCCCTCCTCCTGCACCTGGAGACCAAGATGCGCTCAGGCCGGCCTGGGGCCTGGCCAGCACCCCACCCCACCCCACCCCTTCAACACATACACATATTTTCCTAGAAGAACAGTTTGGACTAAATTATTTTTAAATATTTCTTGCATGATTGTCTCTCTTGCAGGGTAGTAAGATGTCTAAAGGCAAGACCACAGACTTTCTGTCTGGGCAAGTCTCGCAGCCCAAACTCACTGTTAGGCATACGATAAAAACTCACTGCTTGAAAATTAATATCTATCCTCTAAAGTGGTCTAAATACTTCTTATATCAGAATCACCAAGCAAACGGGCAACACTCCTTAAAGTGCAGATTCTAGCCCTTTCTTAGGGAATCCACATTTTTTTCTTGGAGTGGGGCCCACAGACTAGCACTTGAAAGTTACCCTGGTAATTCTAATGTGCTCTAAAGTTCAGAAATGTTGTTCAGCACAATGCTCTTCCTCTTTGATTATTCAAGAAACATGTTCCAATACATCACTGCTGAGAAAACATGTCCCGAATTCACGTGAAAAGAAGCAAAGCTGGCGATTTTGCATTTAGGAGTTAGGCGTGAAGTGCTCTGTAGCTGCAGTGACTGTATTTCCAAGACCAGAAATATAAGCCCATCAACTCATATTAGAACCAAAACTTGGGGAAATTTATCAGTGTGGAAAATCCCAAACACAAAGTTGGTAGATGTATAAGTGAGTGCCCTTGAGCTTGGGGACCATTATCTGTCGATAAAGGCAGAGCCTTTTACTACATGACTTAGTAATACCCCGATTTGTTCATATCAATCATAGCCAAGTGGCAGGTGAGCCCAGGGTTTAAGGAATAAGAGGCTGATCAGAAGGAAGCTGGTCTCCCCAGACCCTTGCCACACAATAACCAGGGACTGCACCCATGGAGGCATTGGCGTTTTTTTAATTTTGAAGTCCAGTGCAGGGAGGTGAAGGTGTGCAGAATATAAACCCTTAACCCTCCCTGAGGGAAAAAACTGTGGCTACTCCAGAAAAGGTCCCTTCACTTCACCATCTGCAGAGGCCATTCCTCAAGGGAATTGTAGACACTTCTGCCTTGGATGAAGCTCTCAAGTTGGTCTACAGAGCAGCACAATCCCAGACCATGGGGTAGGAGTCCAGCCAGTCAAAAACGGCATCTTTAGGACCCTCTGCTTTGCCACTCTCTGACTAAGTCATAATAAGTCAGACCTAAGTTCACATGGTGGTCAGCTACTGTAGAGAAATCTATGTATCATACATGAAGATGCAGCAGATTGCTGGGGCAAATGGTTTTGAAATGTAAAATGCATATGTGAGGGGAACAAATTATTTTCTCTTCCTCTCAGGGTTAAGCCCCCTCTCGGGCCAGCTTTGGGGAGAGAGGCACACACAGAGTTATCCAACTAGAGGAGCTCACTATCTGCTTCCAGAATTTGGAGAAAATGAAGTAATTTAGGGTGATGGTGCACTTTTCACAGAAATTTCTGAGACCAGATCATTCGGGTGCCCTTTGAAAATTCCTACCGATTGTGTTAAAGTGGCCGCACAGAGCATTCTCCCCATCTCAACACCCTGGGAAATCAGGCTCGAACAAAAGTTGCAAATGAGGGATAATGTCCAAGGCAAGGGCAGAGATCCAGAGGTGGGGGTGGGTAGGGGTTACACTGAGATCTTTGGGCCTCGAGGCCATCACCTGTTCTCTCCCCTGAATTAACCGTGAGCCTGGGTTCACAGCTGGTGAACGACTTCCTTGTGTGTGAAACTTTCTGGTTCGACCAAAGGACAGTGAAGACTGAGGGCCAGTAACAGCTGCCCCAGTGCTCCGGGCACACGTGACATGAAGGTGCAGACTTTTGTCCTTGTAGAATATAAATGTTTCTTCTCCCTCAGTGTCCACAATTAGCTCAGACTTAAGTCCCACATGTGGGCAGCTGGGTTGCAGTCATCAAAGACCTTATGCAGCAGCACGGTGAAACTGCCATCCACACAAAACCAACTGAACAGGAGTTTGTAACAAAGACTGCATGGATAGGATAGGATAGGATAGGATGGATGGGAGGGTGGGAGGGTAGGAGGAAGAGAGGGAGGGAGAGAGAGGGTGGAGAGGGAAAGAAAGGAGAAATCTAGAGCAAGGGTACTCAGACACCAGACTCAGGAAAAAAAGGGGCTTTACTATACACAAAAACGAGGTCTCTGTCCAAAGCCAGAAAGAAGGCAGAGACAGCTGATGGGGTGGGGGCAGTGGGTGAGGGCCCCTGAGTTACGGGGACCTGAGTGAATACTAGTGCCCGCAAGCTCCTCGCCGCTACCCTGCAGAGACACAGCTGAACACAGAAGGGAAGGCTGCCGTTGCGCCTTCACAAACCCAGGTCTGGACTGCGGTCAGCATTCACCACTTTCAACGTGCTCCCCCCGCTCCTGCCCTCCAGTTCCTGATGGAAAACTTTAACCACCTCCCGTCAGATGACTCTTCAAACACACTGCCTTTCACCCTCTCAGAAACTCACCAGAGGGATGTTTGGCGCTAGTTCTTTAAAACCTGAGAGCAGGTTGCAGGAAGGACATACCTGGATCACGTGGAGGTCTGTGCAAAGTCAACCTGAACTTCAGTGCAGACTATTTTTTTTTTTAAGACTGTAGTTCAATCATGTTTCCTAACCTTCAAATGGGGAAATCTAATTTTCTAAGAATCTACTGATTTTGAATAGAGATAGCTCTCTAGTTCCAAGGAAGCGATTTCCTCCTGCTCCTTTTAAAGCCGTCTTCAAGGACTCACTCTCTGGAGTCCATTTGCCCAGAGGAGAAAGAAAATTGGCTTCTGCTAGACAGCCAACTCCACACTGCCTTGGGGACCAATCCTGCCGGCCTTCGTACACAATTCATATTTTATCTTTGGAAATCTGTCGAGCTCTTTAATGTCTAGACCCAGAGTTTCCAACCTCTGTATAACTGACATTTGGGGCCAGATAATGTGTTGCTGTCAGGGCTGACCTGTGCTTCATACTGTAGACTGTTTAGAAGCACCCTGGCCTTTACTAACTGGGTGCCAGTAGTATCTCTCCTACTCTGACAACCAAAAATGTCTCCAATATTGCAAATGTCCTCCAGTTAAGAACCACTGGCTTAGATGGCTACTTTGAGGCCAGAGTGGTTACTATTATGAAGGTGCAACCTGGAACATGAGGACAAATGGCAATTTCTGCATGTCCCTCCTGTATTGCTCTTGGGCTTCCTATGTGAGGGATACAGAAAACAGCCCTCAGCGTTTACCTGAGCATCTTCTAGCTCACTCTCCAGGGTCCTTCTGGCTGCTGTGGCTTCTTTTTCTTCCTTTCTTGCACGCACGAGGGCCTCCTCTAATTGCCGAGCCTCCCCCTACAAGGAAAGCATGGGGTCAGTGTGCGCTCAGCTGTGAGCTTTGGCTGTGAAGCTGGCGTAGGGGGCTGAGAGGGGTGATGAAGATGCCCACAGACACAGTCAGCAGTGCCGCAGGCCCCAGACGGTGCACAACAGCCGTGTTCCTAGATGTCTGTGCCTGTCTGCACTTCCGTACTCAGCCAAGATATAAACATCTGGATTGCCTGCGATCATTTTTGAAAACACAAATACCCAGCCTCGCCCCTGGAGCAGGTACTGGATAGACTCGGGCACGCAGAGTTGTAGAAGGGGCTTCCAGGTGATTCTGATGGATGACCTCTGGTGGAACACATCTCCCTTTGCATTTCTTCTGTCCCCACTATTCCTGTCAGCTGCCATCAGTACCTGTCTCTTGCAAACAGCCTGGCACCTCTAGAAACCTGGCAAAGCAGAGAACTGGTCTGTGACTTCAAAACCCATCAACTGTGTATTAACAAAAAATAAGTGGTCACAAGAGAGAACAGACCAGAGGGTGGTGTTGAGACGGCCTTTTCAGGACAGCGGAGGCCTCTGCTCAGTGTCCAAAGAAGAGCGTGTGTCTGATGTCTGTGTGAGTGGGGATTCTCCTGACTTCTCATGCGTTGCCCACCCTGGACCTCATGAGCCCTGTTCCCAGGCCTCGTTAGAAGCTCAGCTCCCGTTCAGACCCCTTGTAGAGGAACAAAAGGAATGGTGTGCAGAGAAGACACAGTCACAAGTGCTTTGACATTTCCTACTAAATTATGACAATAAATCTCTTCCTGCCTCTGAACCACTCACACAGGAAAGAAGGACCACAGCTGGGCACGGGGCCCAGGAGCCTCACCTCGTACTTCCTGAGGGCTTCCTTTGCCTTGGCTTCATCGTCTTTAAGGTCAGCAACTTGCCTCTGAAGCCGAGCAACACTCTGCTCCAGCCCTGCAAGGCTTCCACGCAGCTTTTCATTCTCCGCCTCCAGAGCCTTCGCCTGCATCTCAGCCCCCAGCTGGGTTTGCTCCGAAGTGGTGCTCCGACTGGCCAGGACCTCGACATTCTGTTGAAAATAAGGAGACCACTGTCAAGGGGCAGTTCCCAGCTCCGAGGATGGCTGATATTTATTAAAAACCCACGATGTGCCAGGCACCGTGCTAGGCCAGGGACTGGCATACTACTGCCAGCAGGCCGAGTCCAACCTGCCAGCTGCTGTGAAAAACACAGTGTTATTGAAATGCCACCACACCCGTTCGTGGGCACCTGTCTGTGGCTTTCACGTTACAACAGCAGAGTGAGGGCTGTGGCTGAGACCACGAGGCCTACAATGTCACAAAGCCTGAGGTATTTACTAATCTGGCTCTTCATGGGAAAAGCCTGCCAACCCTTGCCTGGGTTAAGTCCTTGACATCTAGAGGAGGCCCTTGTGCGTGTGAGAAGGAAGGAAGGAAGCCACGGCAGCCAGAAGGGCCCTGGAGCGTAAGCGGGAAGATGCTCAGGTAAACACTAGGGGCTCTGTAACCCGTAACCACTGCCTTCTGGTGAGTTCAAGTCCCTGGCCCCTCACCACATGCAGGGCCCCCTAGTGGAAGCTCTTGATGAAGGACAGTTTCTGTCTATAGATTTCCTTTAACATGCAACACAAATCAGGAAATTAAAATTTACTTAAATTATCATGTACCTAGTGTAAGCTCCAGGCACTGTCATCTGCAAATGAGCTTGTGCCGCACATAACTCCTAACAGAAAGGAATGGCAACGATTATAGGATGGTTATTGCTAATTCCAGATGTCACATGGGCATTTTATGTTTTGGCTCAGTAATGTGAAGTGATGATAAGCGGCCTTGTCCAGAATTCCACCTCTCCCCCAGTTCACTCGCCTTCCATTCCTCCACCACTACAACATTGCCAACTTAGTGAAATGGATGCTCTTAGGACCACGACGCAGGTGCCTGCAAGGAGAGAAAAGCCCAGGGAGGACAAGGGCCGGCCTCAGAGGCTGTGCTGCAGCCCACCTGGGAGAGCTCTCTGCCAGACTGCTTGCTTGCTTGCTTGCTTGCGTAGCCATTCAGAAAGATCTTTAAATCTTTTAACAGTACGGTAAGTTGTATTCCCCTGAACTCAACCAATTAGAGAGTTTCAGAAACCAGTACATCTTTTCACAACCCAACTGTTTAATTCTATACATGTGGGGAAGCCCAGAGCCAAACTACTGGAGTCGGAATGCAGTGAGCAGACATGGTGAAGAGAACACTCAGGGCCCAGCAGCTGGGACATCTCAGGACAGTGTGGACATCATCTCCTACTTAAACCAACAAGATGAATGAGGAGAAATCAAGTGGGGCCGAAAGCCTGGAGAGGGATCTGAAGAATCCAATCACTGGTCAGACCAGGGAAAGAAAAAGTCTAGGGCATTCCTGCCCTAACTTTTCCATCAGAAGATAAGACAGTGCAAAGCTGCCGTTATCAAGACGGTGCGGTACTGGCGTGAGGATGCACACAGAGGTCAAAGGAATAGACTTAGAAGTCCCAAAACAAATCCTCACATCAGTTTCTTTTCAACAAGGGCACTCAAACAATTCAATGGGGACAAACAGACAAATGCTGCTGGGACAAATGGATACATATATCCACAGGCAAAAACTAACTCAAAATGGACCACAGACCTACATGTAAAAACTAAAAATCTAAAACCCTGAAAAAAAAGTAGGAGTAAATATTTGCGCCCTTGGGTTAGGCAAGGGCATCTTAAACACAATACCAAAAGCACAAGTGACAAAAGAAATTATAGATGTATTAGACTTCATCAAAATTAAAGTTTTGTGTTGCAAATGATACCTTCAATACAGTGAAAAGACAATGCACACAGAATGAGAGAAAATATTTGTAAATCATATATCTGCAAAAAGACCCATTGCTAGCATATATAAAGAATTCTTAATTCAACAGTAAAAAGATAAATAACCCAATTAAAAATTGGGCAAAGGATCTGAGTAGGAAGAAATCTTTCCAAAGAAGATAAACAAAAGTCCAATAAGCACATGAACAATGCTCAACATCATTATTTATTAGAGAATGCAAATCAAAACCATATGAAGATGCTACTTCACACCCACTGGGTTGGCTTTAATAAATAAGACAGATAATAGCAAGTGTTGGTGAAACCATGGAAAAATCGGGCCCTCATGCATTGCTGATGGGAAAGTACAATGGTGCGACCACTTTAGAAAACAGTTTGGCAATTCCTCAAAATGTTAAACAGTGTTACAACATGACACAACAATTCTACTCCTACGTATAAACTTAAAAAAATGAAAACATATGGCCACACGAAAACTTCACAGCAGCTTTGTACATAACAGCCCGAACTGGAAACAACCCAAATGTCCATCAACTGGTGAATGGGTAAACAGACTGTGGTCTGTCCATACAATGGAATATTTAGGAAGCCTAAAAAGAAACAAAGTACTGATACATACCACAACATGAGTACAGCTTGAAAACATTGTGCTACTGGGGGAAAAAGCCATTCACGAAAGGTGACATTTGTGTGAAATGTCCAGAATAGGCACATCAAGAAAGTAGATGAGTGGTCGCCTAGGGCGGAGGGGAGTGGGAGGTTTGGGAGATGACAGCTGGGGTACAGGGTTTCTTTCTGGGGGGATGAAAATATTGTAGTGATGGTTGCCAGCTCTGTGGACACGGTAAAAACATGGGATTGTGCATTCTAAATAGCTGAATCAGCGTTTTAAACAGCTAATTTTTTTTTTTTAAAAAGTGGGAAAAAGAGAAAACCTGGAAGTGAAGTCAGGCCAAAGCGGGGGAGGGGACACGTTAGCTCCAGGGGTCTGAGGGCTGAGACTAGAGCCTGCTGCCTAAGTCTGCCGGTAAAGCAGGGAGCACTTACATGCGTGGTCTGTGCTTTCTGGTTCATCAGAAATCTCAGGAAGAACAAGGGTACAAAACCAGATCCAGTTTAGCCAGACTGGGGCCTAACCGGCACTCCCACCTGCTAGATAAAGGAGTTCGTGCTGTCTTTTGATGTTTAGAATTTGGTATTTTCTGCTTCAAAGCCATGGGGGCACCTGGTGAGTCCCAGGAGGGCTGACCAGGCAATCAGATGGCTCAGGCAGCTGTGATGGACAGGGGTCTGGTCCAATCCCAGCTTTCCATCCCACAGGGTGAGCGTGCAAGGCTCCAGGGAAGCTTGTGGGTGCTGAGATAGATACTCGGTCCTGTTCTGACTACTCGTAATATGTTTTTCTTGGTGTTTTCCTTGTGTGGTAGACCACATTATGTTGACAAATAAATTAACTTAATCCTCTGCTGACAAACCAGAATATTAAAAAGCAAACTGATGTAATCCTTCCTTGTCCCGACCCTGCCACACACACCAAGCCCAGTCCACTATTGTCTATAAAGCCCGTAGGATACACTTCCTGTGCCTGAAACCATACCCGATTCACCTGCAGCAGTCCCGGAATCCAAAAACCTAAAAACCATATCCCTTTGTTTGAGGCAAGTTCCACACGCAAGTTCTTCTCCATGACTTCCCAGTGAAAAGAAAATTGGTTGAGCCCTGGCTGGTGTGGCTCAGTGGATTGAGTGCTGTCCCTGTGAACCAAAGAATCACCAGTTTGATTGCCAGTCAGGGCACATGCCTGGGTTGCAGGCCAGGTCCCCAAGGGGGGCACATGAAAGGCAACCACACATTGATGTTCAAAAAAAAGAAAAGAAAATTGGTCTAGAGGATCTCCAAAAACCCTCCAGCTTGGAACTTTGATCTATGCATCCCCTGTTCCAAATGCTGACATTTGTATCTGGTGAATGTGGCAAACGCAGCAGAACTCCACCAAGACCAGGGCTGGTAAAGATCTACTCAGACAGGTCACGGGGGACAAATACTGCTGACCTCACTTAAGTGGCTGGTGCTACATTTCAGTGATTCTGAGAGGGTCAGTCCTGTACGCCATAACAAGATCAGTGAGGATATTCCATCATAAATAAAACCAGAGGGCACAGAGTTTCTGACGATTCATTCAGCAGGTCATAGCACCTGTGTCATACTTATTTTTTAAAAGGATGATACCAATTTGCTTTTTAATATTTTAACTATTCAGTGATAAGCAGGTAACAAAAAATCAATCTCAGTCCCTCTGCCACTCCGAGAGGTTGAAAACACCACACTCGGCCGTCACTGCAAAGGCTCAAGTAGCACGTGTGCTACATTCCCTTGTTTCTCGAGATCACACCATGCCCTCGGATCGCACTGAAACCTCTTCTGCACCCATCAGACAGTCAAGATCCCCAGGCTGGACAGCACAGGGCATGGGTGGCGTACAGAGACAGGCCACCCCGTCCACTGCTAGTGGGGGCTGGACACTGCTCTGAGCTCCCAGAGGGCCATTTGGCGTCAATCAAGATGAAAATATACATTCTCTTTGACTCAGCAGTGTCCCCGCCAGCACTTACCCTACACGTGTGTAAAATGACGAAAACACAAGTCTTTAATCACAGCACTATAATAGCAAAAGGTGGAAAAAACTACATGCCAACTAATCACACACTTATTAAATAAGTTGTATCCACTCAATTAAAAAAAAGGATAAGAAAGTGAGAAAAATGCAAGGAGCAAAATATTACACACGGCTTATCTCTGATAAAAGGAGGTGAGGGGAGAATAAACAGCTATGTACTCGGCCACACAAGAAACTGGTAACTCTGACTGACTGGCGGTAAGGGAGGGGTCGGGGCTACGGAAGGAAGCAGAGGCAAGTATTCATTCCATTGCAAACCTCTTAAAACTTTTGAAATTTAAATGACGGAAATTCAACAGATAATAGCAATTTTGAAGTATATTTTTTGTTTCAAAACACGGATTACCCATGGCCACAGGCACTTGGAAGACAACCACGCCCCCCCCACCCCCAGTCCTCACCCCCAGCAGCCTCTAGAAAGCCCTCCTCCCCGGCACATTCGGGTACCTCTGGGCGCGGTGCTGGAGCACCGGGAGCAGCTGTGCAAACACAGCGCGGCGCCAACTCTCCCACGCTGGTTTACAAA